CGCGTATGATCAGAAGCAGGAATTAGAAAAAAGGCAAAGCACGGGTAAAATCCAAAAAATAAACAATAAATTAACACCTTTTTTTCAAAAAAAAAAAGGAAAAAAAATAAGATGAACTTCCTCCCCATCCGGACAGTCCCCTAGAAAGAGGTAAATTGAACTAAAATTCTAGGGTGACACGCAAGTATTTTGTTTGTGTGACCTAATGAAGATTAAAGCTGCAAGTAGAAGTGAAATCAGAGGCACAATAATAATGCAATTTAAGACAAGTTCAGAAGTTACCAACAGTGTTTTACCCCCAACACAAACCATTTCAGCAGAACACTGCTTGCTTGCTTGCTGGCTCTACCGACCATATCTATGAAGATCTAACTACTGGGAGGAGAACGTCTTAAGCGTGATTCTGATGGGGAAGCCTTTTGAATTAGTCACCGAGTCTCCCACCCGGAGGCCACCCCTATTTCTGCCCTCCGGGAAGTCGTGGTGCGAGTGACTGTGGATAGATGATGTCGCGGTGGCGATGCTTTCCCTCCCTCTGCAGGAGGGGACTTGCCTTTCTCTTACGATTAGCAGACTTGGGCGAATGGTGGGCCCCCTTGTGAGCGACGGTATCCCCATAAGGATCCAATTCCCCTTCTTCCAAATTATCGTTCTCCTTTTGCAAGGGCTGCACCGCCCCTTTTGTCATCATTCTTTGGTCGTGCTCTAGCCCACTTGATGACTTGGGACAACTCTGTCTTCTCTCCCACTTGCTCTTCTCAGCATCTATTACTATTCCGTCCTCCAATTCTCTCTCGATGAGGTCATCGTCATCCAAAACATCGGCCTTCCTAGTTGTGCCACCACGGGATTTCCTGCTCCTCTCAAGTGCTGCTTTCACTTTGCCTTTGTCAATATTCTTGATGAAGACCTCCTGCAGTGACTGCCCAACTGCCGCCCCATCCATGTGGTGGTGTTCCAGGGCCCCACCGCCATCCAGCTTCTCCTTCATTTGTTTTGTCTTCTCTTCACCACTTTCATCGTTCTGCTTACCACTAGCCTCACCAGCATAGCTGGATGGGTATGTTATGTTTTTTTCAGAACTTGCATGGTCATTGTCACAGTTTTGACCAGCCCTACCATGATTATTAGGAAGCGAATGATAGGAGATTGGCTTTTGGGAGGAGGCTTTGGAGGTCCCGGTCTTTGATGATGTAGCAGTGCCCCTGTGAGAGCTGTTGCTGTTCGGGTTAGGGTCTTCATTTGCACCGGACGGATTTGTTGGTCTCTGAGTACCCACAACATCAGCACACTCTTCTGCTTCTTTGGCAAGAGACTTCTGTTCATATAGTTCAAGCATTTGGTTGCTTACCACTGCAAGAATGTTTAAAAAGAGCATTAATGCAAATGTCCTATTTTATCTTTTTTGTTTAATTTAAAAATAAATAAAACAATTTCTCGTTGCAAAAAATTAAAGAGCATCAAGAGTAATAGACCCAATAAAATCCCACAACCCTTATCCCTACCTGAAAGCAAAGAGGTTGTTTCCAAGAGGCCACCAGCTTAAAACACAAGAATACAACGGCAAAGAAAAATAGCACTGACAAAGAATATATACAAAAACAAGCACAAATGCAGGAACTACAAACAAAAGCACTACAACACACGTGCAGGAACCACAAACTAAGACGGAAAAGTCTCCTCTATCACCCTAATCCAAGATCTAGATACTCCTATCTAATCGACTTCTTTCAACTCTTCTTAGGTCTACTTCTATCCATCCCCACACCTTCTACCTCGAGGCTCTTACACCTCCTCAATGGGGCATTCGCCATCTCAATTTTCCCGTCATTTATTTCCCACTCCCACCCTCCCTGGAACCTCACTTTAGATCTTATCATTTTCTGTATAACCATACATCCATCCTACATCAGCATCATCGTCTATGCCACTCATAACTTAGGAACATGAGTATACATCACCACCCAACAAAAGAACCACTAAACTATAAATACAAAGAAGTGCATGTGTGTGCATAATAATACATTAAACAAATCCTAGAGGCTAGAGCGTGTCTAAAGAAAACTTTGCAAATGAGAGCCATAAATATAGTAAATAAGAGTCAGTTAACTCAATACCACAAGTATATCTATGAGATTGAATGTATATCTAAAGCAAAACATCATCCCACCCTCCAATTGACGTGGGGTGACATCAAACTCCTGCCACCAAACCTTCTCATCGTCATGTGGAAAAGAAACTTGGCGGCAAGAAAAATGGCACCTGCTGCAATGTGATGGGGCTTAAATTGCAAGCATAAAGGTGTCCGAAGCCTGCACGTGGCTTTCCCAGGTCATCAAAAGAGAAAAAGAAGGATCCCACTGGATCGTCTCCATACACAACAAAACCACAATAAAGCAATCCTACCCATTGTTAACAAAATTCCAAGCAACTTGAACAAGTGTATTTTGTGCAGCCTTGAATTTTTGAAGTGCCACAACAAGGGGTTTATATGGATGATGCACATTACGCTCAAATCCAAGTGTTGCGAGAACTACCCTCTCTCCCATCAAAATCAGTTCTTTTTGTTGTTCATAGACTTCCTGCATTGGAATGTCAAAATATATTATAAAGTTGAGATATGAAAATATCATAGCCAACCACCCAAGTAATTTTCACCATAGAACAATGACCGACGAAGAAGATAAAAATCGGAAAATGATAGTGATAGTGTACCACAATAGTATACACACTGATACAGTAAGTGATATTATCTTATGCCAATACCCTTTGCTTAATCCTTTGTATTGCTTTCGGATCCTTCTTATAAATAATCTCGTACGAGACAACTATAACATCCTTTAAGGCTCGAGGTGTTTCTTCAACTTTTCCGGCAAGGAACATACATACAATTGCAATAATCTGCAAATTATGTAAATGAGTTAGACACTCAGGTTTCCTCCCTGTCATACGGTTACAGCTGATTAGCAGTTTCGCAAATAAGGCAGTCAAAGAAAATTTCATCATGAATAATTTTAGAGACACCACGGAATGCAGAACAAGAATTCCACAAAACTACTACTATGGCTGGTTCAAGGAATTTGAAAGGGAAAAACAAAAGGAAATGAGAGGGAAAACAACTTTTCTTGTTTGATTGGAGAGGAAAAGAAAAGAAAAGTAGAAGAAAAAGAAAATAAAAGAAGAAACGAATTAAAAGAGGGAAAACAGGTTTCCTTCTATTTTGGTGAGGAAAAGGAGAGAAATCTACTTTATTTTATTCTCTTTTGAA